GAAGTTCAAACAAGAGCTTGTCGTCCGTTTGAAGTTCAAACAAGCCCTAAGCTCGCTCTCTTGCCCGTAGACGAGCATTTTCGAAACAAGCCCTCGATCAAAACTGGGGATTAAAACACATAACTCCACCAATAATAGTTACATGTTGGAATCACCACACAACAAACAACAAACTGGGCAGGCGACTTGTAGGCGTGTTTTTCTTCATTCATGCAGATATTTTCCAATTCGCAATATTTATGTAATTATCCAAATTTCTCAACTGCACGGCTGCGCCTCTTAAAAACCCAAAATCGACAAGCATCGATATTATGTGCACAAATAATATTTTACAAATTAATAGAAGCAAAAGGTTGAATACTTTTACAAAAGAAATATTTAAATAAAAAAATCTATAGCCAAAAAAAGAAAATTAAAAAAAAAAAAAAAAAAGCAAAATGGGGCTAAAATTATCCTCCAATAGGGGTACCCAAATTTAAGCCTAATGATCCTCAGCACCCTGAGCCTGCAACTTAAGAGCATCTCCTTTTTCTTCAACCAAGTAACAGAAAAGGGGAAAAAAAACACTAAATTTACCTTAAATGAACTAGGGACAGTATAATTGATCAGTAGTTTCTTTTGTTTTGTAGGAGAGCTACAATCACATTCCTTTCCCCAACATCGTAAAGTACAGTGCCCCATATTTCAAGTTGAGGAGAGAACAAAAAACTGAAATTGAATAAATGTAAAGGGGTGAAGGAGTAAGAAGATGAACAAGGGATGATCGGAAGTTGTGAGATTTTCTTTTCATTTTTTTTTTTTTTTTGTTTACCATAGCCTCCTGTGGACCTCGATATTCGGACATTGACTACAAAAAGATTTTGAGGCACTCTCGTGTGGTGTGAGAAAAAACGACGAGCTTCCAATTTGTTAACAGACGAGCTTTAATAAGATTACCAATTACTATGTGCCTTTTATGCATAGTACATGTACAGGCTATTTGCAGCAGCACAGGCTATCGAGTTTTCAGAGGGATGCCATGCCAGGTGGAGCAGCTTTGTGGTGAAATCGAATGTATTCCCATTGGCATCAACTCCTGGACTTTCTGAACCTGCAATATAGAAACCAAACAATCCTTAT